ATTAAGATACAAAACCGATTCACAAATACGAACCAGATTACAACTTAAGAGCTTAGTCACGCTAGAGAAAGGGAAAAAAGATGGCAAATAAAAAACTAAATTTGCTATCAGTAAATGTTAATGGTATGAACAACCCCCAAAAGAGACGGAAAATCTTCCATCAAATTGCCAACATGAATGCTGATATAACATGTCTGCAGGAAACTCACATAAAGGAAGACCATGCAAAACATTTAGAGTATAAAAAGTTAGGGACTGCATTTATTGCAACAGACAAAGTTAAAAAAAGGGGTGTGGTAACGTACGTAAACAAGCAGTTGCACCCAACACTGAAATATAAATCAACTGATGGAAGAATAGTGATCGTAGAAATTAAAAGAAACGGCATAGGAACATGGTTTGTCAATATATATGCTCCAAATCAGAACCAAGAAGCGTTCTTTAAAGATCTGAGAACAATAATAACAAGAGAAAACCCAGAAAATATCTGCATTGCAGGAGATTTCAATACAGTCTTAGATAGAAAACAAGACAGGAAAAAATCAAAGAAAACCAAGAAAGAAGGAACTGAGATGCCAAACAGTTTCCTGAAATTGGCAGATGAATTTAACTTGATTGACATGTGGAGGACTAGAAACCCTCACAAAAAAGACTATACATACTTCTCGCACAGACATGGATCTTGGTCGAGGATAGATATGTTATGGACAAATTCAGATATGGCAAAAGACCTCTTGGAAATAGAAATACTACCAAATACATTTGCGGACCACAATCCAATGTGGATGTCCCTACAAGAAAGCCGAAAGGTATCTAAATGGAGGCTAAACGCAGGACTATTAAGGGATAAAAAATTCATATCTAAAACTAGGACTGAAATAAAGGACTTTATAAAAATAAATCAAACAGAAAACATGCCAATAAGTATAATATGGGACACAATGAAAGCATACATAAGAGGCCTATTTACTACACAAGACATATGGAAGAGAAGAAAAAAGAGAGAAAATCTTAAATGTTTATCAGAAAAGCTAAAAAAAGAAGAAATGACAGCAAAAAATCAAGGAGGAAATAAAGACTCAATGATAAAAATTAAGTTAATCCAGCACCAAATAAACTTGATACTGTCACAACAGATAGCAAATAAAATTGAATATGCCAAAGCTTATTATTTCGAAAACGCTAACAAACCTACACGTTGGCTAGCCTATAAATTGAGGAAAGAAAAAGAGAAAAGAGAAATTGCTGCCTTAAAAAACGAAAATCAAGAGTTAAAATACAAAAGCCAAGATCTAAAAAGAATTGTGGAAAGCTTCTATAGAGAACTCTATAAAATGGTACCGACAAACCAACAAGATTTAGAAAACTTCTTCAAAAAACAAAATAAGAAAAAATTCACAGAAGATCAGAGAAAGATCCTGAATGACAGAATTACAATGTGTGAAATAACCGAGGCATTTAAAAAACAGAAAAAGAGGAAAGCGCCGGGACCTGATGGTATACCGGCGGAAATATTACAAAGTCTCGAAGAAGAAATAACACCTTTATTTAAAAAACTACTTGAAGAGATAATTGTCACGGGAAAAACACCGAAGTCATGGAACGAGGCGATAATATCCTTAATCCACAAACCAAACACAGATCAAGAAGAGATAAAAAATTATAGACCCATTTCTCTCCTAAATGTGGATTACAAGATCTGCGCATCAATCTTGGCAGCAAGGTTTAAAAAAGTGATGTCCCAAGTAATACATCGCGACCAATCGGGATTTCTACCCAAGAGGCAAATAAAAAATAACGTAAGAACAATTATAAATACTCTAGAATATTACGAACACAACCCAGGTAAACAGCTTGCGCTAATATTCTTAGACGCGGAGAAAGCCTTTGATAATGTAAACTGGTCCTTTCTGAAGTGTAAATTAGAAGCCTGGGAATGCGGAAAAAACTTTGTAAAAATGTTTTCAGCCATATAAGAAGAACAATGGGCGAAAATAACTGTAAATGGTGAACTATCGCAAAATATAGCAATCCAGAAAGGAACCAGACAGGGTTGTCCGCTCTCGCCTTTACTTTTCATCTTTGGCTTAGAGTCCCTAAATGATATGGTCAGAGAAAATACAAACATTAGAGGACTCAATATAAAAGGAGAACAATATAAACTCCAAGCCTTTGCTGATGACCTGGTCTTTATTTTAGAAGAACCCATAACATCAATAACAAATTTAATGAATCAAATTCAGGAATATGGCAGCTTGGCGGGACTAAAGGTCAATGTGAAGAAAACCAAGATCCTAACAAAAAACTGCTCCAAAGAAGATATAAACAAACTTCAAACAATCTCTAAGATGGAAGTAACAAATAAAGTAAAATACTTAGGCATTAATCTGACAAATAATAACTTGCAACTATATGAAAATAACTATAAACCTCTATTACAAGAGATTAAAAAAGACTTGGAAAAATGGCAGGATCTTCACATATCATTGATGGGTAGAACTGCCACTATAAAAATGAATATTTTACCGAGATTCCTATTTCTGGCCCAGACAATCCCGATATTAAAAACAGAAAAAATATGTGAAGAACTAGATAAAGTTACAAGAAAATTCATATGGCAAGGAAAGAAGGCCCGAGTTAGGTTAAAATTCCTACAAGAGAAAAAAGAAAGTGGAGGCCTGGGTGTACCAAACTGGAAACTTTATTATATTGCAGCAGCAATGACTTGGATACGCGATTGGGTATTATTAGAAGACAGAAGAACACTAAAGTTGGAAAGCTTCGATCTACACATGGGCTGGCATACCTATGTGTGGTATGACGAAAAGGAAAGGCAAAAACACTTTAATAATCATATGCTAAGAGAAGCGTTAATAAAAATTTGGAGAAGGATAAAAAATAAGTTCTACGACAAAATACCGAAATGGGTGTCCCCTCTAGAAGCTTTCATAATGCCAAACCTAATGATGGACAACAAGATCGTTAGTTATGAAATATTACTTACAAAAGAAAACGATTTGAAAGACTTTGAAACCTTGCAAGCAGCGAACATTAATCTTTCAATATGGGAGAAAATGCAATTAAAATCAAGATTTGCTAAAGACAAGACAAAAGGGTTTGCTTCATCAAGCACGAGTTTGGACAAAATTTGGCTATCGTCCGCAGATAAACAAATACAAAAAGTATATAACTTCCTATTAAAGGAAGAGACACAAACAGAGGTATTAAAACCTTGTATGAAGGCGTGGGAGAAAGATACAGGAAACAATATAACAATAGTAAAATGGTTAAAAATGTGGAACTCAATAAAGTTAATTAGAGCCACATCATACAAAGAAAACATTTTTAAAATGTTCCACAGATGGCATTGGACACCAGACAGAGTAATAAAATGCTATAAAAATGTATCGGGGAACTGTTGGAGGTGTGAACGTAATGTTGGTTCCTACTATCATATCTGGTGGAGGTGCGAAAAGATAGCAAAATTCTGGAAAAGTATAAAACAGCTAATTTTAGAAATAGTAGAAATTGAATTACCATTGGAACCAGAAATATACTTGTTAAATATCCTGCCAGAAAAGATAAAATATAATGACGTATGCCTGATATTGTATATCCTAACAAATGCCAGAATTGCTATAGCTAAATGTTGGAAGTCTGATAAAGTGCCCAGTAGAGAAGAATTAGTTACAAAAATTATAGATATAAAGGAAATGGACAAAGTAAACATGTTACTCGCGGGAAAACTAGATATCGTGTTCAAGAAGAAATGGCAAAAATTAGACAGGTGGTTAGAAATTTACAGATAAGCAGCTCCAAAATTGTGGTAAAATTGAGTATACTTACTTTTTGATATGTACATGACTTAAAAATCAAAATAAAATATGTAAAAAAAAAAAATAGGCCGCACCACTGGGTCTAGGTCCAAGGATATGGGGGGGCCAGAGTAGCGTCCCAGTGTCCCAGCAAAGACTCGGGGAAATTCCGTGCACACCGTTCCAAAGTCCCGTGCCCCGATCTGGTGGATCCCATTCACCGAGAGTCCCAGGGCCTCGAACCAAGAGAGCCCTAGTAGGCTAGCAAGGGGCCTATCGACTACCAGCAGGTCTAGAGTGCCCTTAAAGTCCTGGAACTGCACCCGGAACTTACCCCAGCCCTGCACCGCCATGGGGTTCTTGTTAAAGTCCCGTAACCTAAAACCCCATGACTTCTGTAGGGGAGCCTCCCCCCCAGGGACACAGCGTGCAGAGCGTATCCACGAAGATAATGGAGTACGCCGACCCGGTGTCGATCTTCATGCGGCAGGGGGACCCTTCTATGAGAACCATGACATGCATTTTCCGGGGGCCGTCGGGAGGCAAGTTACAGACCTGGCATTGCAGGAAGCTGGCCGAGATGGAGTAAAGGTCGATGGGCTGTTCCGGCGAGGTCTCGTGCGCGGTCGCTTTCGGGTGGAGCACTTTGGAGCAGCAGACCCTGGAGATGTGTCCCGATTTGCTGCAGGCCCGGCAGATCGCGTTTCGAAATCGGCAAGACCTGCGTTCGTGGTCTTCCCCACAGCTGGTGCACGTGGCCGGTGTGGTCGATGCCTTGCTCGGGTTTGGCAGAAGTCTTGCCTGCTTTGGAGGTTGCGGGTCGTTGGTGGACCTGTAGGACGTCATCCTCGTCCGAGGCATCGGACCTGGCGGTTCCTTGGATGCGGTGGACTGGTTTGGCACAGCGATCTTTGTGGGCCTTCTTGTACGTGGAAGCCTCCCGGACCGCCCTGTCCAGGTCATCCTGGCTGACCAGTTTCCGGCGTAGCTTGGGCTCTCAGAGGCCCACCAGGAACTGGTTCAGCAAGGTGTCCGCGAGCTGTGGGAAGGCGCAGTTGGTGGCCGCTCGCCTGAGCCCGGCCAAGAAATCGGAGGCCGATTCGTCAGGGCCTTGGACCCTCACACAAAAGTCCATGTGCTCGGCAAATTTCGTGGTCTTAGGCGAAAGGTGGTCGGTCAACGCTTTCACCAACACTCCTTTGTCTTTTTGGGTGAGATGAGGTCCTTAAGCAGTAGAATGGTGCCCATGCCGCACAACTGTAAGAAGTGAGCTTTTTTCTTCCCCTCGTCCGTGATGCCGTGGCAGTCAAAATAGTTTTCCAGGATTTCGATCCAGGTCTCCCACTCAGTGGGGTGGGAGATGTCGAAAGCGGCGATGTTGCTCTGGGTGGTCGCCATTGCGCTGCGGCCACGTGGCTGGAGTAGCTCAGGAACAGCGGCGGCGGAGGAAAAGTCGTGGCAAGCTCTGCTGCTCTCGGGGTCAGCAGGGTTAATTTTGGAGCCTGGAGCGAAGTGGTGAGCAGCAGCCGGAGACTCTGGTTGCGGAGCGGAGCGACTCGCGGAGGTCTCGGCATCGGGGCTCGATGCGGTGCTCGGTTCAGCGTCAGGTCGTTGTTCATGGGGTTGTAGATCCCATCCTCGTCGCCAGTGAAAAGTATGCACACGGAGAATGATTTCAGCTAAGCATACCTTTATTTAGTCAGGAACAAGACACCTTACCCGGCTTGCAGGCCGGGTTATATTCCCTCAGGGAAACCCACCACAAAACACCCCCCCACTCCCGATAGGCTATTTACAGTAACCAAGAGACATATTGGCCTCTTGGTCCCGGAAACTCTTGACCTGATACACTACACCTGGAGATCAGTTTTAATACCAGGAGATCTCCAGCTACCACCTGGAGGTTGGCTACCATACTAAAAATCATGAGAAATGGGGTGGGAGGTGGAGGGGAGTGAAATGACTGAATTGAAGAGGGGCACACAATGGGATGACCATGACTTTGAACAAATAAATAAAACATGTGGCTCTTGCCCTGCTCCCTCCCCCCCATCCAACTGTGATTAATTTGCTATGGTCATTTCCCAAATGTCTGCCTGATGAAAAAGCCCCCCCTCCTCACACCACACCATGCCTAGGAGGAAAGGCCTTTCCCGTGGCTACCAATCTGCAGACTGCAGGGATGTACTAAAAGGAAGGACGGGATCGCCCATTGGAAACAATGGGAAACACTTGAAGGCCCATTGGAAATAATGGGAGCCAGGAATGCCAATTGACTTGTATGGGCTCCATTGAAATACAGTACAGCTGCGGTGCCTCAAGTGGTTAAGACGCTGAACAGCAGGCTGTGGAAGGTCGGTAGTTCAGCAGTTCGAGACCCGAGTGTGCCGCATGACGGAGTGAACTCCCATCTCTAGTTCCAGCTCCTGCCAACCTAGCAGTTCGAAAGCAAGATATTGCAAGTAGATAAATAGGTACCGCTTCAGTGGGAAGGTGCACCTTGGTGCATTCCGTGCACCTTGGTGTTTAGTCATGCTGGCCACATGACCACGGAAATGTCTTTGGACAGCACTGGCTTTTCGGCTTTGAAACAGAGATGAGCACCGCAACCCTAGAGTCGGATTCGACTGGCAAGAAGAGTTGCAAAGAAAATGTGGAATGGATTTTCCATTAGGATCTCTGGGCCCAAATAGACTACTCTGGGACTGGAATGACATGCCCCAACTTGGAATGAGAGCCCCTAGGAGTAACAGAAGTGTTCTGGAACTGGGACGAGAGGCCCGAGAGTGGAATGACAGATCCAGGGGGTAGCAGAAGCATTCTGGAACTGGAATGACAGGCCCCAGAGTGGAAAGACAGCCCCTGGGAGTAGCAGAAGTGTTCTGGAACTGGAATGACAGGCCCCAGAGCAGAATGACAGGACCTGTCATTCCATTCCCAGAGTACTGCTGCTACCCCCAGGGGCTTTCATTCCACTCTAAGGCCTCTCATTCCAGTCCCAGAAAACATGTGCTACCTCCAGGCCCTATCATTCAACTCCGTGGTCTCTCATTCTAGTCACAGAACACTCCTGCTACTCCAAAGGGTTGTCATTCCACTCCATGGTCTCTCATTGCAGTCAATTCCACATTTTCTTTGCAACTCTACTTGTACTGTAATGTATTTCAATGGAGCCCATGCAAGTCAATTGGCATTCTTTTTTTATTTCCAATGGGCCTTCAAGTGTTTCCCATTGTTTCCAATGGGTGATCCCGTCCTTCCTTTTAGTACATCCCTGCAGTCTGCAGATTGGTAGCCACGGGAAAGGCCTTTCCTCCTAGGCACGGTGTGGTGTGAGGAGGGGGGGGGGCTTTTTCATCAGGCAGACATTTGGGAAATGACCAAAGCAAATTAATCACAGTTGGGTGGGGAGGAGGGAACAGGGCAAGAGCAATCCTGTCCTTCCTTTTAATACATCCCAGACTGCAGTCCTGCCAATCACCCCCCCTTGCACAGTCTTGCATGCTTCTTTCATTCGGGGAAATCATAATGCTTCACATTTGATTGCATCAGCCGCCCCCCCCCCGCCCCACAACTTCTTCAGCTGAGCCCTCTGTGAGCTCAGTGCTCCGGATGAGCCGACAGCTGGCAAGGAACCCCCAGCAGCAGAGGCTCAGCTCTCCAGTCGGAAGCAGCTCATCCTTCTCAGCGGGCGGGGCGTGACATGCCGCCCTCCCCATCCCCCTCTGGGAGCACCCGCCCAGTCCTGCAGGGCACAGGGGAGAGGCGGCCTAGGCATAGCGGGGCAGCCACCGTGTGGGTCTCCTCCCTCCCTCCCTCGACAGAATCAGGAGAAGGCGATCCGCCTCTGCACCCGGAGGGAGGCCTAGCAGGGAGTAGGCTTGCTCTCGGCTGGCCACGGAATGGTGCGGTCTTGGCCAAACTTGTTGCCGGGCCCGGGAACTTCTCACCTTCTGGGGAAGGGCAGGCAGGGGCGCAGGCGAGGCAGGCCCAGAGGAGCCCCTTTCGTCAGCTTGCTTAAGTTAACCAACCTTTCCAGCAGGGGGCGGGGCACAGGTTCCAACTTCCGACATGTTCTCTGGGGAGCGGGCAGGACTCGGGAGGCACAGCGAGTGGCTGAAATGGTGGGCTGCAACTGCATGTGTGCAGCATGTGCGGCTTCAGTTCCACTTTTACGAAGGCAGAGCGACCAAGGACGAGCAGCACAGGCGCAGCAGGGCTTTGGTGAGGCGGGGAAGGGGTGGGGTGGTTGGAGAGCGTGGCGTCCCCTTACGGGGCCACTCTAGGCAGCTGCCTAATTTCGTCTATGGGTGGTCCAGCCCTGGCAGCTGCCACCAAAAGCCCTGAAGCGACAGCTGCACTGCCATGCCAACACTCTCAGAGATCCACCAAAGCTAGGAGGGGGAGGGGGTAACAGGAAGAGCTGACCCCCAAGCTGCAGGCCATCACTGTGACCTGTGAGCTCCCAGGTCATGCCCCCACCCCATTAGAGGTCCACCAAAGCTAGGAGGGGAAGGGGGTGAGTGGGAAGAGCTGCCCCCCAGCTGTAGGCTGCCACTGTGACCCATTAGCTGAACAAAAGAAAGTAGGGATCAGGGTTGGTGGACCGCTGCCACCTAAAAAAGCCACACTGCTGCCCAAAGGCCCCATGGCTTACCCATAAGCCCCTGGAGTCCCCTACTGATGCCTGCTAACCTTGCCTGCATGAGTTGGCATCCCAACCCTGCATCCCCCCGGCCCAGCCACAGGACCTCTGTCTTTGATGGATTTAATCTCAGCTGTCTCTGTTTCAACCAACTAACCATGCCCCCCAAACACTTAGCCAGTTTTCAGGGGCAGTGTTCAGATGGCACTTATCAACAGATAGAGCTGAGTGTCATCAGCATACTGGTGACACCCAAGCCCAAAGCTCTACACCAGCTGGGTGAGAGGGCACATAAAGATGTGAAAATAACATCAGGGAGAGGATTTCCCCCTGGGGGACACCACATACCAGTGGATATCATGGTGAAACTCCCTCTCCTAGTGCTACCCTCTGTCCCAGTTCTTGGAGACAGGAGACAAGCCATTGCAAGGCTGTTCCCTGGATCCCCAAGCCAACGAGGCCATGGGTCAACAGATCATGATCAACCATGTCAAACGCTGCTGACAAATCAAAGTAATATCAGCAGTGCTGACCCACCTTGATCCAGCTGTCTGCAAAGGTCATCTGTGAAAGGAACCAATGCCATCACTGTCCCATGGCCAGGGCAGAAACTAGATTGAAAGGGATCCAGGACCGAGGTGTCATCCAGGAAAACCTGGAGCTGCTCCTCTACCACTCTCTCAACTACCTTAACACAGAACCACACTTAATGTGTTGTGGAAGCAGCAGACACATTGCTGCATTCGGACAACCAAACAAAGCTTAGAGGGAATCTTGGAACTCCCAAAGGTTCTTCTCTTACGTACATTGTTGTGATCCCTGGTTATAGCAACTTGGGTTACTAACTCCAGGTCAGTGTTCCCTCTAAGCTGAGTTAGTGTGAGCTAGCTCACAGTTTTTTAGCCTCCGGCTCACACATTTTTGTCTTAGCTCAGGAAGAATGGCTCCAGAGCAAACTAATTTATGCAGCAGCCAAATCGACCGCTCACAACTTTAATGCCAGTAGCTCACAAAGTAGAATTTTTGCTCATAAGACCCCACAGCTTAGAGGGATCATTGCTCCAGGTTTTGGGAAATTACTGGAGATCTGGGGGTAGGGCAGGGTTTGGGGAAACCATTTTTAAAGGCAACAATTTTAAATATTAAACATAACAAGAACAAAATACAAAAGGGTGGAAACAGTTCTATCCCTTCATGCACGCATCATAGGGGAAGACTTCTTGGTTTGAAACATAGCATAACATACTGTGATGTCCAAACTGGACAAAATGACAAACTGGTTTGTTTCTTGCTTACCAACACATTGTGCTATGTTCCAGCTGTAAGCCAGTTGCATGGGGAAGTGCATCAGCTTGAGACCTCTGGCAGTCATTCATCTGAATACATCTGAATACACACCACTGAGTTTAACAAAGATCTGTTTATATAGGGAAACGTTGCTGGAAGCTCCAGAGCAAATTAACTAATGCAATTAACCACGACACACTTAACATACCTCTACTTGTGTTTTGGATTTAGTGCATACTGTATCTCTAGACAGAGGAAGAACCAGTAGTGGAGGCAATAGTGAAAGGATTGCCAGTTCATGTTGTGTTGACTTCCTTGCTTTCCCCTGGTTTGCTCTGAGGTTTCCAAAAACCACTTTCCTCTGAACTTTCCAGAAATATTGGCATTAAAGCAGGTTTACCCATAGTTCGGGGTGGAAGGTTCAGATTTCTGAACATCGCTATTTTCCTTTCCTATCTCTAGCCACCCTCCATCCCTCCCACCACCAGCAAGCTTTTTTCCAGCTTTTTTTAAAAACAAGAGTAATATACCCACTACTGTACAGTAACACTGAGAGTGACAATGAGTCCA